ACACCCCACTTGCATGCGCTCCGCGAGAAGCTGGCGAGCAGCAGCAGCAGCAGCAGCAGCAGCAGCAGCAGCAGCAGCAGCAGCAAAACCAAGTGCGACTTTTCGGAGGTAATTTGTTCAAAAGTGGCACTTTAATTGAAAAAGAAATAAGGGAAAATAAAAGAATAAACTTGCAAAAAGAATAATGCGCGAAAGAATAATAAACAAATAAAAAGAATAAATGAATTAAAAGAATAAATGAATTCAAAAGAATAAATGAAGCAAAAAGAATAAATGCGCGGGGAAAGATAAAAGAGAATCGAGGAATAATAAATAAAAATAAACAAAAGAATAAATAAAAGATAAATAAGATAATAAGGGAAAGAATAAATAAAAGAATAAATAGAAGACAAATAAAATAATGAATCAAAGAACAAATAAAAGAATAAATAAAAGAATAAGTAAAAGAGCAAAATGAAGAATGAATGAAAGAATGACTAAGAAATAAAAGAATGGATAAAAGAATGAGCAAAAGAATGAATAAAAGAATGAACAAAAGAATGAATAAAAGAATGAACAAAAGAATGAATAAAAGATAATAAAAGATGAACAAAAGAATGAATAAAAGAGAACAAAAGATAATAAAAGATAATAAAAGAATAAAAGAGGCAACAAGGAAGTGAGCTGTTGGCTAAATGCGAGTTTTCAGGCGAAGTCCTCGAAGGCGCAAAAAACGGGAAGAAGAAAAAGTGGAAAAGACTTAAAAGACTTTTCCTTCGACATCTTCGCCCAGTGACTTGCATGCAGCTCCGGTGTCTGTACACCGCAAAGCCGCGCTGTGCAACGCCACCGCCCTTCCCAAACTACTCCAGCTTCCATGCAACTCCATGCATGCACTTGCATGCATGCAGTTGCATGCATGCATGCAACTGCATGCATGCATGCAATTGCATGCATGCAACTGCATGCATGCATGCAATTGCATGCATGCAGTTGCATGCATGCATGCGAGGACCTGGTTGGTAATTATTTTTTCAGAAAGTGCTTTTTGGAGTTCGCCGTTGCAGCAGTTAAATTCGAAAGCAACTCCACTCTGTCTCTACACCTGAGGAACATTTATCTTCAAGTCCCCGCCCGCGCTCTTCCCTTCCCCTTCCGCTCCCCAGTTGCTGCTGCTGCTGCTGCTGCTGCTGCTGCTGCTGCTGCTGCTTTCAGCAGCAGC